CTTAATACCGCAGTGAACTTGGTGTCATTTCCACCTACGGCCGCAGCAGCATGTCAACATCCAAGTCTAGTGTATTATCAGGTAAAGAATAGGCTTGGAAAGGATTCACATCCTGAACAATAAGGATGGACAATAAATAATTATATTTTGGAGCCCCTCAAGACTTTATTACCACCTGCACCAGATGTACTTTTAAACACCATTTTTTGCAACTGCACTAAAGGATGCAACACAAATTGCGGGTGTAGAAAAGTTGGACTGTCATGTTCAATACTATGTAGTGATTGTCATGATCAGTCTTGTCTCAACTCAAATGTTGATAGCGCTACCGAAAAAAATAAGCAGAATGAAGAAGATATTGACTTTGATACTATAGACCTCCTGACGACGATAATCGGGAAATAAGGATATAGAACGAGAGTTTGGAAGAGATGAGAGAGGACGATGACATGGAAGAGGGAACAGAAGACGACGAGGCTCTGAAGGTGGGGACAAATACCAAGAATTTGGAGGAGATGACAGAGGACGAGGATGTGGAAGAGGGGACAGATTACGAGGATGGGGATCGCACATTCTCATTCTCTACGTACAGCTAAAATTCGCAACAAGAAAGATCATGGATCAAGCCTACAGGGGAAACCATGTAAATAAAAACGCGCCTTGAATCTTACTTCTGAGGTAGTGTGGAAACGGGTGCAATCCTCTGTTTTCCTGGAAAATAAAGTTGGAAACGGTTGATGGGTTGACGTAAAATATGTGAACAAGATTTTTTGAAGAGAGTTCTCCAGTATGTTTTTCTTTCAAAGCCAAAATAGCCGTAGGACATACCGGAAGCAAAATATTTATGAAAAACTCAATTTTGTGACATTTGACCTTGAATATCTTGAAACACAAACAAGATATCGGTGGGGACTTTTAATACATTATTTCTTGAGATAAAATAAAGGTGTAGACAAAATTTAGGCTCACTCGGATTTTTTCCGTAGATGAATCCTTGTATGACTGTACTAAAGGGCCGATATGCCGATACACCGATATACCTGAAAATGGCTGATACGCCGATATACCGATATGCCATATCGGTATCGGTCGATCCCTGGGCTGGGTGCAAGTAAACTTGGAGTCTTGGACGCTGCGCATGCATGCCTCACTTGGACAATACTTGGATCGTATTAACTCTTTATCCAAGTATAGGTCCTAACATCCCAGGAAGTAGGCTGGCTGCCAACTTACTTGGTCCAAGTATAAGTTGTCTAGTCCAGTGCCGACAAAACTTTTCTTCTTGTAATAACTGAACTGCTGGACAATTGCCTTCGAGCAAAAGAAAAATTTCGCCTAACTTTCTTGAAGCTCGATGTGTTTGGAACCAAATTTTGACCTCTGGTTTCCATGTAGCAATTTTTTCTACAAAAAGTCAGTCTGTCAGCCCGTGAAAAGCAGAGGGCGATATTTGGTCTGGAAAAAATTTCCTTTCTCGAAGGCAATTGTGCAACAGTTTATTATTGGTGAATCTGGCAAAAACGTCAATACAATTTTTGAATTCATAAGATTTTGTTCAAATTGCACCACTGGTTTCAGAGATAATGGACCGTCCCGTTACTTCTCGTACACTCTGTATAGTATATGATAAATTAGGACAAAATTAGAACGTGGCACCTCAAAAAAAATTTTGCCTGCTACGAAACATTATTTTTCTGTCCCATTCACTACCTCCCACTTTTCAATTTTGAAAATCTGGCAACCCTAGGTTGAAAACAGTCAGAAAACTAGTATCAACCAATGAAATTAACTCTTGACTGGTTTGTGATTTCTGCAGAAACAGACTTATCTCGAATATTATTCTTTGTAGATACTTGCGACGATATTCCGCTTAATTAGACAGAATTAGAAATAAACATCTATTTTCGGATCTTCAATATTACCACTAAAGATCCGCATTTTCGGACTCCTAATATACAAATTTAAAATCCGAAAATTATCGGATCTTTAGTATGAACACTACATGGAGATCCGAATTTTCGGACCTCTATCCACTGCCATAAATAAATAAATAAATAAATGTATGCCATGCTTAAAATGAGTTCTAGGGGTTTTATGTAAGTCCGTGCGTTTACGAATGCAGATACGGACACGTAGGAAAATTTTGGGATTGCTTAATGTTATGTATGTATATATTTAAATATTATATTATATTTGATGATTAATATAAACAATTACTGCATGTCAACATACACACAAAACCATAAAAAGTTGTTTATATTAAAGTGGTCCTGGGTTGTTCGACGACTTGCATTCTTGCAGGTGGGTTTTGGGTTTTCAGTAATAAATAGAATTTCACGTAGATTTGTGTCTTTTATTTATATTTGAGTTTCCTATTCACATTAATAGCAAACTCAACACTTAATAATAGTTAATAGTTTCTTACATGTTCTGGAGCGATGTATTGTAGTTTTTTAAGTATGGAAACTGCAGGGTCGTCTTCGTCTTGGTCAGCGAGTGATAGAAACAGAAGTTTTTCCAATTTTGTTAGGCATATACAACAGCTTTTTACGGACATTATTGTCCTTAGATTAAAACTCGTTTATACTAATTATATTATATTTTGATTTGTTTATCAACAAAATGAAATGAAAACAAAAAATCAACATAGAATAATTTGAGGTTATGTTGCCAAATTAGTTGTATTCCTTTCAAGAGTTTTAAACACTCGAGCTACTCGCTCCCGTGTTCAGAGCCGCTTTCCAGTGCCTAAATTGTTAGAGTATCATGCTCCTGAAGTGTGACGCTCTTGAACTGTTCGACATAAGCAGCACTGGAACGCTCTCGTCTCAACCCCCACCATTTCGGATTTCAGGAGCATGAAACACAGACAAAAGGATTGGTGCACGAGGGGGCAGGGGATAACAGAAATGAGTAGCTCAAGTGTACGTAACTCTAAGCACTGGAACGCGCAAAGCAATTGTGGAGCACTCCTGAGCTGCTCAGGAGTAACTCAAATGGGTCACTGGAAAGCACCTCAGGAGCCCCCAATTTGCAGGGAACAGATGCGTGGTGCAACAAACACTTTTCGAAAGGAATAGGGGCGTGAAGCCCCGGAGCTGTTCCGGAGCTCCTCCTAGGTGTGAAAGGAATACAACTATTGTCGTCAACTCCGTAATCAAGGATTACGGGTCCTCAGAGGCCTTATTCTGTAAGGAAAGAACCGTTCGATTCGGTAGAATTTCTTCGATTGTGACGTCATTTTCGGTTTGGTAGCGCGAAAACTAAACCGAAAATGACGTCACAATCGAAGAAATTCTACCGAATCGAAAGGTTTGTTCCTTACAGAATAAGGCCCCTGGGGTCGTATTTTCGAATTCATTCGACTACATTTCGTACATGAAATTTGACTGACAGCAATGTAAATTAAATGGGGCGCATTCGAAATCGTATCAAATTTCGTATGCGAAAATATTCGAAAATAGGACCCCAGGTCACAGGACATATACATGGAAACCTTTCCTCAGTTCATACGAGTAGGGTTACCACCTTTTAATTTCCGAAAACCCGTACATATATAATCGATGCTACCTTTTTTTTTGTAGCATAATTTACACTCATATCTGTAATAGTATATTACATTACGAGTGTAGAAAGTGACAAATTTCACACGAGTGTTTTTTCGCACGAGGCGGTAGCCGAGTGCGAAAATCACACGAGTATATGAAAGACGCTTTCTTCATCAAGTACATCAAAGTGATGTACACCATTTTTCCTACGACCAGAATCCGATTTACACCAATTTTCTATTATTTTATTTCTTTTCATTTTCAACACACGTGCTGAAAGTACTTTCAATCCACGTATTGAAAGTAAATTGTGATGTCAATCACAAATAATGTCAACAGTATTTTCCACACGTGTGCTGAAAGTAGGTACTTTTAGCAAGCGTATTGAAAGTACTTTCAGCACGTGTGTGATATTCCGCGCTTTCCAAAGAACCAGTTAGTGCGGGTTTTGTCATTTTCGTATGTGGTCGTAGGAAAAATGAATTTTTAGAAAAAAATTAAAAAAAGGAATCTACTCAATTTCAAACGCCCCCCCTGTAGTTACAATCTATTTTAAAAATTAAAAAAAAAAAAACAGAGACACTTTTATGTGAACAGGGAGAACGACACAATACATACTATTTGTTTTATTAGGCAGAAAAGCACAATATTTAATGCCGCGACTAGTGTTCCATAGCCGAAAGTGAAGCGAGGAAACCAGCCAAGGCATTAAATCTGATCTTTTGCCATGTGAAACATATATAATTTTTTCTCCGAATTTGTTACAGTTTCACGCATAATCTACTTTTTTATGTTTATCAATTGCGCTGATAACGTTTGTTGAATGGGAAGCAACGAACTTTTCTGCCTAAGCAGAAAAAGTCCACTTTTTCGTCGCTAACTGGAAACCGAAGACGTTCGTGACACACCCGTCTTTCAAGAAGTAAGAACGTTCAGAAACTAGTTGGGTATATCCTAAGGCGCTCGGCAATAGCCTTTATAAATTTTATATTGAGTTACTAGTTATCCAGATATTCCCGGACATTTTCATCATGCGTCCGGACACCGGACAAACGTTTGAAAAACCGGACAGTCCAGGTGAAAACCGGACAGGTGGCAACCCTACATACGAGTCCAGGAGATAGGAGCTTGGTGACTGACTACTAGTTGTATTACTTTCAAGAGTTTAAAACACCAGAGCTACTCGCTCCGGTGTTACTCGACCCTGATTTGCGCAGGCTTTCAAGTATTTAAATGATTTGTTTGCACTCAGGTGCAACAAACACTTTTCGAAAAGAATAAGCGCGTAACGCCCCGGAGCGGTTCCGGAGCTTCTCCAGTTGTGAAAGGAATACGACTACTGACTGGTTTGGCATGTGACATTTGTGACAACTGACAGGAGCGGCATCAAGGCGCGAATCGATTCCACCGTTGTCCGTTGTCACTGTCAGTTGTCAGTCAGTTTCTTCAGTTGTTAGGTTGTTATTTTTGTTTATTGTTTTGTTTTTTGTTGAGGCTGAAAAAAGGAGAGTTTAAAGTTTAAATTGGAAAGCGGAGGTTGAGGTTGAAAGCAAAGTTGAAAAAATATGTAATTTGCTGAAAATCTTGTTTATAATTATTATTATTTCATTTATCTATGACCCCTGCCCCTGTTCTTACAGTAAAGTAGCAGTGGGCTGTGGATTGAGATTGAATTGATTTTCAACAGGTATGTTTAAATGTTTTTTTGTTATACAGAATGAACCCAAGTAATGGAACAAATTGAATATAAAATAAATGAAAGCATCTGCATCTTCGAAAAAACACTCAGACAAAATCACATGTCGTTAGGCAAGAGCAAGGCAAGAGGTTTTGTAAAAAATTTCATAAGCAGCAGCGGTGTTCACCTGTCTCAAGAGCTGATATAATATACCGGGTGCCCACGAGATTACTTTCTTGCTTTTTTTTTTTGTTCATCAATATCAACGAAACTTGGTAGGCTTGATATTCTGATAAAACCAGGGATCGACCGACACGTTTTTTTTTTTAAAAAACCGATATTGCCGATACCGATACGATATGGATTTATAGAAGGCCGATACCGATATAAGGCCGATATATATTTATCTGTTTTCTCCAACCTTTTCCGAGGGGTAAACCACTCTGCGCAATACTGTCACAAATCGCGCGAAATCCCTGCACAATCATGCGAAATCGCGCGCAATCGTTGCGAAATCAGGCGAAATCGGGCGCAATCCTTGCGAAATCGCGCGCAATCCTTGCGAAATCCTGCGAAATCGCCAGCAATCCCGCGAAATCACTTAACTTTGCGAAGTCGGAGCCTGGTTCAAATGCGGATTTCAAGTCTGACCAATCAGAATCAGAGCTATTCAAAGAAATTAGCGGGAAATTCCTGCTTCTGACTTTTGTAGTCGTAATAATCGTTGTGTAAACGATTTTATAATTATTGTAACGATAAGTGTTCCTTAAAGTGACATTTTTACATGTAAAAATGTCATTTTAAGCTATCCTTTTCCTTAAGCCTCCCTTCAAATGGTCGGTGCAAACGGCCATGAGTCATTGATTTTCAAAATTATCATATACAGTGTGTCCCGCTTTTCATGAATACACTCCGATATCTCAGTTATTAATTATGCGATTTCATTCAAAGTTTGTTGGCGTTTGTATGTTAGAAAAATGAACTATTTGACATAGTAAATGTTTTCATTTACCATTGGCGTGCGGTCTTGGGGGGTGGACAGTGGTTGTAATTTTATGAAAAAGATATTAGGGCTTATTTTAGATAATGTTTTGCATCAGATTAAAAATCAGCATCCCTAAAAACCCCTTAATTCATATTTCCAAAATCTCAAGGGATGATAAGAGCAAAAAAATAAATAAATTTATTTTAATTTAATTTTTCTAATAAGCTGTTTATTTCTAGTTAGAAGGTAGCTATGTTGAAAATACAATATTCTAAAATAATGTCATCTGTAATTTGAGGTTCACAATTAAAAATAAACAACTTATTCCACAAAGTGAATTGATATCTATTTTTTTTTTGGTAAAATCAGCTCTTGAGAATTTGAAAATACATATGAATTAAGGGGTTTTTGGGGATGCTGAATTTTAATCTGATGCAAAAAATTATCTAAAATAAGCCCTAATATCTTTTTCCCAAAAATACAACCCCTTTTTACCCCCCAACACCGCACGCCAATGGTAAATAAAAATGTTCACTATGTCAAAAAAAATCATTTTTCTTCAAACGTCAGAAAACCTGACATTTATTTACTTATTTCATGATGTTAAAGTTTAACTTTTATGTCAGTTGACGGTCACTATGGACAACGGAAGTAAAATACTTTTACCTCCGCTCGTGAACAGGAGTAATAGTATATTGTTGTATTAGGAGTAGAAGCTTTACTTTGTTGTGCTGAAACAGCTGCTGAAGCACAAAAAAGTGCTTCTACTCCGTATGCAACACGCTATTTTTTCTCCAAACGAATGGTGTAAGCTTGGGGGCAACTGGATCGTTGAGCGGCAGTAAAAGTACGAGCGGCACTAAAAGTACTTTTGCTGTCGCTGGGGTTGCCAAGCAGCATAGAATAGTATATTGTTGTATTAGGAGTAGAAGCTTTACTTTTTTGTGCTGAAGCAGTAGGTTTGCGAGCCGAACGTAGTGAGGCTTGCAATACTGCTGAAGCACAAAAAAGTGCTTCTACTCCGTATGCAACACGCTATTTTTTCTCCAAACTAATGGGGTAAGCCCGGGGGCAAGTGAATGGCTGAGCGGCAGTAAAAGTACGAGCGGCACTAAAAGTACTTTTGCTGCCGCTGGGGTTGCCAAGCAGCATAGAAATTAAACTTCTACCACCTCGACAGGTGTTAACCCGCTGGATTTGCCTGGCAGCATAGAAATCAAATTTCTGACATCTTGACAGGAGTTACCAAGGTGACGTTTTCTTGACGTTTGGAGAAAAAAGTCTTCTATTTGCAATCATATATGTAATCTTGTCATTACTGACTTTTTAAAAATTTGGAAGTGACACTTTACCTGTGTCACTTCCCTTTTCGATTTCCCTCACCGATATCCCTATTCGATTTCCCTCACTCTAATTTATTTACTTTTGCTGGCAACAATGAGAACATGTCAGGTAAAAACGTCAAAGCAGTGAATGACACATTTTGGCATGTTTGTTTTATTTTTTTAATATTAAAAAAATTGATTGACTAATCATAATTAATGGTGTGCTTGCAAATAAAATAGTATACAAACCTCGGAGGAAAGTTATCATTTCTGTCTCGAGATTAATAGTCAATCTCGACGCTTCCCGTCTCGATTGACTATATAAATCTCTCGACAGTAATGAAACACTTCCCTACTCGGTATATAATATACTATTACCTCCGCTCGTGAATACCTATCTGCCATAACAACGCAAAGATTGACAATTTGTCACCTAGTTGATGGATTGTTCGGTAACATCATTAATATTTGAGAAAATTTCGATTTTTTTTCTATTATTCAGATACGTTCGAAGAAAAAATATCCTGTTCTATTCGGAGTAAAAGCTACTTTTACTCCTAATAAAACAATATACTATTTTCTAACATAAAATCACCACCAAAATTTGAATAAAATCGCATTATTAATAACTGAGATATCGGGGTGTATTCACACACTGTATAATACCACAAGAGAAAAAATTTTGTTGGCAAAATTTTCGACTGGTATGAAAGTTTGTTGCTTGGTAATTTCGCAAATGACATTTTTATCATAGAGAAATATAATAGTAGTAAACTACGAGAGAAGTCATTCCCCTGTACCTTAACTGGCACAATGTCGACGTTAGCGTCTCTGGTGGCTACGGACAGCAATAAAAGAGTGAACATTGTTTAAATGCAGGTTTCTTCTTTACCGACAGTGAAAAGGCGGCTTTTTTGAATAATTAAATTATTAACTATGATTTTATTTAAGATTTATTAAAAATAAAGTACTGTAAACGCTCAAGACAGTTAATTGCAAAGCAAAACATTTGTTGAAAAAACTTGCTAAAATTTACTGTTTACTGAGCAACTGTTTAGAACGATAACAGAACTTATTTTAAAAAAATTCAAATTAGATGCAATGAGATTCCTTAAGGGGGTCAAGGAGGTAATTGAACAATACAAAAATTGAGATATCTTTCAATAAACTTATTTTTTTATTCCAATTTTATAAATATACAGTAACTAAAAATGTTTGTATTATAACACAGCCCCCTACATTTAACAAGCCATGAAGTTAAAAAGGCAACACCGCAATCTTACCGCCAAGTGGTGCTGGTGATGTTTGTTTGTATAAATATATATTTTTTATTTTATTAATATGAATCACAAAAAATACATAATTTATTGTACTAAAGGGCCAAAAACAGTAATTCAATGAATAATTTAACTATTTGTGTAAATAAGAACAGTAAATAATTGATTTAAATGAATATATTTCTAGAGTCTAAAGTGTTATAGGCCTATGTTTCAGTATGTCTTTTGAAAATCTAACTTTTTCTTTCTTCGGGATTTTTTCGGAAGGCAAGTCCATTCAAATACTTGAGCTGATTTCCGAAAATAAGAGGTACCTACTTTTAAGAGTTGGACGTTTTAGTTTGAACTCTCGAACTACGCCTTTATCCGTGTTTGTTTCAAATCTAATTATTTCGGTTTCTTCAAAATGTTTACAACACACCACAGAATTTTTCGTTATTGTATAATCTTGGGTATAATTATCTTGGTGTACTTATTGCTTTCATCCACATTTTTTGCACTTCAGAATTTTTTTGGAAATAAAAATGTTTGCATTTCTTCAGTTTTTAAGGAACTCCTAATAGTTCGATTTGCACCCAGGAACACAGTAGTTTCATGGCATCTGGAACAAGTTTAAATATCTTAGGTAATATATCGAGACCTATGCTCTTGCAGACAAATATTAATATTGTTTTTATTGTTTTACCTTACCTTACCTTCATTTTTGCTCCTGTACCCATTTGCTAAAAATTTGCAATCAAAGCACAAAGGAACAGGTATCAACTAAATATGGGCAATATATTGGTGTGTTTCTATCCACTTTTTCGTCAATAATGCCCATAAAAATACTAAATTGCAACAATACACAATGAAAGCAATACACAGAAACACATAACCCAATAACAAAATAGCACCATACGCGACGTTGCCGTCATTTCCAATTTCATGGCTTGTTAACTATAGGAGGCTGTGATTATAAGCTTTGTGTTTACCTTTTTACTGCATCTCGCATCATCGCAAATTCGAAAACACACTATTATTGGTATCGGTTTTGTCTAATTAATTAATATTTATGATCACTGAATGATTTCTATTTCTCTAATATAAATAATAGAAGAAATTTTAAGTTATGATAATGAGCATTCAGTTTTCGATTGATGGTCTTCGGATTCAATCATAGACGATTCAATAATTTGTCAAATTTTGACAATTTTGTATTTTGTATGTGTTAAAAAAAGATAGAACATTTTCGGGCAAGTTGCTGACAAAGACAAATTAAACCGAGTTGTCAGAAACGATCGAAGTAATTAGTTCAATAATCTGCCACACCATGCGAAATACGCTACGGGTATGTGCACAAACACACTTCCAGATTTTTACATTAAACAAACGTCTCTCGTAGTTTACTACTATTATATTTCTCTATGATTTTTATCAAAAATT